AGAAGAACATAGTAAGGTTTGGGCAAACCTGTGGTCAAGACCATACTAAGAAATGAGACAGATTCTACTCCATGTGTTTAGTTAACAAGAATCACTGAGCATTAACCTGTTACAGAGATGGCAAAAGAAATACTTTAAAGCACGGTAGATGAAGCAGGAGAGTTTCATTAAATGATTGTGTTTCCATGGAATTGACACTCAAGCCTTACTTTGCTCGAGCTAGATGGTTGCTGGCATGATCATATTCATTGAGTAGAGACCAGAAATAGTTGGTAACGAATAAATTGATGTGAAGGAAAAATCTCATTTTCTTGTCCTGATGGTTGGAGATTTTGTAACTCCAAAAGAAGGAGTTTAGAATGATTGTAACACCATCAAATTGAACCAGCCTATTGCCTTAAAATGCTGTCCAGGTTTTGTAAACATTTTATCACTGAACATAACTCTCAGCTATTCTTCTCCAAAGAAGGAGAAAAAGGCTCTTGATGGTCCTATTATTAGAAGGATGATAATTTAACAGGGGAGGAAAGATGTAACGTGAGGAAATTGGTTGTTGTTATAGGCAACTGTTACTCATTCCCAATGATTTCAGCTTCTTCGAGGGAGAACTTGTTCTAGGGGAGCTGATCAGCTGCCTCCTGGATTTTCTGGCTTGGCTGGAGACAGAGCCTTTGTAGTTCTGTTTGCTTAGGTGTAGTGTGCAGGATTATAACATTTCCTTACCCTTGCAGAGGTCTGGCCACACATCTCCCACTACCACCATGAGCAATTCCTTCCCACTGCCAGCTCATTTCCTTTGCTCTTCTGAATCCCATGTCAGGGCATTTAATCTCCTCTCCAACTCTGAGGTTCTCTGGTGTAAATTTCAGTGCTCACTGGCTAATGAATGTCTCTAAGCAGATGTTAAAATTAAATTAATGGTTTTGACTAGAACTGGTTTTTTACTCCACATCTCTGCCTGTTTTTGTTTCTGATGTCCATTGGGGAATGTTGCAGAGCTTTGACAGAAGTTGAAGACATTAAAATACCCTCATTGCTCTGTGCTGATGTTCAGTGTACATAGCAAACTGAGGCAAGAGGACTCCCTGAAATTAGGATAACTTTCCAGCTGCTTGCACTACATTTTGCATAGTTCATAAGGGCTGTTTAACACAGATTTCTCATTAGCACAATATTCTTACATGCTAAATGTTTTATAGGGTATTTTTTTTTGCTGCTATTACAGGCAATGGATGGTTTTCCTACAAGAAAATTGGTTCTTGATAAATGGGCTTATGAAATGGTTTTAACTCCTTACCACTACTCAGAAACATCATGTAATATCCTAACTCTGTCTTTGATCGTTTGTGTTCATCTGTGAACATCGAAGAGCACACACTGTTATTTTTCCTCAACGAGCTGTTGGCTTTATTATGACAAATTCTGGTTTCCTTAGAGTAGACTGAAGTCATTCTTTTGATTATAAATGGATCAAAATTTGCTTCATCACCTCGCTGACTCTTAGAAGGGACTGTGCATGTTGAGAACAAAACCCTATTTTCTCCAAAGTAGTTTCTATAAACTCCCTTGACACAAAGTGAAAGATCTCTGTGCCCACTATTCGGATTTCCCTATACAATAAACAAGGGTGTAGACCAGCCTGGAAAGTTTAAGATTATGACCTCATGTTCTTAGAGCTGTAAGCACACTTGGTAGCAACTGAAACAAGGAGTTAGACCAGAAAAATACTGGAGTAGAAGAGATTTCACCTGATCTGGTCTCAGATGGACATGGTGTGGCAGATTAGACCTGATTAGATGCAGACACAGGAGGTTTCTTAGTAAGTTCTGGTGGAAGGAAAGGGAGAGATGATTTACCAGCACATAAAATAAATGGATGGTGCACTGAGATGCATCAGTAGGAGTACTGAGTCACAGCTCATCATCTGGAAAACTGGAAATTTTCAGTACTACAGCAACGCATTAGTTGATGTATATATTTTGGGAATGAGGGGACAGTGATAAGTAATGCTTTCTGGAGCATATTATAAGAGAACTGAGTTTCATCTTCTGAGTGTTTCCATCCTATAAGTTTTCCTGTCAGATTTGGGAGAACAATATTTCACTTGACTTTCAGTTTGTCTCTGAATCATTGTTACAATGGAATTTATTCTTCCAAGCCTGAATTGCTGAAGAAAAAAAGGCAGAGCTAAACAGTGGTGGTGGGTGGTATAGAGGAGAAGAGGTGAAAGAAAGGGTCTGTGCATGACTGATCTAATTTTCTTCATCTCACACACTCAAGGCAAGTATGATAGTGTCTGATTAATAGTTTATTAAGTGACCAAATGCTTATTTTCTTGGTTTGAAAATAAGAATTGAGAGAGCATTTCTCCTGTGATGGGCTAGATTTAACAGCAGGGTTGTGTAAGACCTGAAAGGAACAATGACTTCTTTTGCAGAGGGAACAGTCTGTGCACTGGCCATGCTTCAGTGAAAAAGACAAGAACTTGCTACTAGCATTTAATACATTTGTAACAGTTATAGGAAAGACACCTGTTGACAAAACATTATGTTTACAAAGGTCTTAGTGGAAAATGAATTCTTCTGCACTGGAGGCATGTCAATGTGGTTTCTATTGCTGAGGTAGTGTTTGAAGAGACACAGTCCTCAAAGTCATGGGCAGACCTTACTGTAGATAAATACGGAATTTCATATGATATTCACCAGTTGGTAACTCTTGATATATTGATAGTTGCATTTAATTGAAATTTAGGTGAGGAGGTAAAACTGAAAAACTTAACAATTTTGTCTCATGTACCATAAGCTCAAAAGAAAGACAATAAACACAGTCTAAAGATAAAATAAAATTTATTGTGTATCAGCTGTAAAAGCTTGTTTTGCATGTTTAACAAATGCCTTTTTAAGCAGAGCTATGGCACAACCATTTTAAACATTCACATTGTTTTCTAAATTATTGCACCAGTGTGCCACTAGGTTTTTAGGTTTTGAAGGGAAAGACTAGGAGTGTTTTCTTGGATGGAGTAGATTAAAGAAAACAATTTCTACATGCCTCTATCAATTCTTATCCTCATCTTTATTGGGTTGATTTATACTTTTTTTTTGTTGTTGTTGTGTGAGTTTTCCTTGATTTTGATATTTTTACATTAGGAGTGGCTGCAGATATTATTAGATAAAAATGCTGTTTATTAACCTAGTGGAATTAAATGGTACAAACTTCTCTCAGATAAGTACCTGTCTATGTTGCTATCAAAATATATGTGTTATAGTAGCTACTTTTACGGATTTCTGGTTTACTACTCATTAAATATTCAGGTAGTCTCGTGTCTCACTTATGAAATTCAAGAAGAGGAATTGAAATTAGCCTTAATTCTCCAAAAGGCTACATGAAGAAAAGTTATTTTATTTTTGTAGCTTACTTCTTAATATGTCTAGACTATAGGGTGATACCACAGTTTGTAACATGACGTATAGATTTCTGGCTTACCTTGAAAAGGTTGGGTCCCAAAATATTAGGATTAGAATGAAACATTTGGGAAAGGTAAAGGTTGTCTTAAAGTGTTGTATTGTGTTTTTATGTTTCTGTAATGGTTTGCCCCTTCACCCCCCATTTTCTCCCCATAGTTCTACCCTGAGTTTTCCCACCTTTCCCCTCAATGTCAATCTCCCCAAAACTTCCTAGTCATCCCCCTGTCCCCTCCCTGGTACCTTGTCCATCACTCGGCTGCCCATCCCACTCTTCCAGAATCTTCTACCCTGGGCATCGAGGGATTGGATGAGGACCAGGGGGCCTCCCTTAGGTTTCCCCCATTGGTTTTTGTATCTGTCTCTCCTTTCACCTTCCACTCCCCCAAATCCCCTCATTGGTTAATGGGCATCCCCTTCCCCTTGTTACCACCCTGCTGTTGGGAGAGCTCTTGGTTGTTCGATTTTCTGGAGTTTGGAGCTCTTTAAAGCCTGGATTAAACCTGAGACTTTCCCCAGACTTGAGTCGGTTCCTTTATTGCCTCTCCTCCACACAAGGCAGACAGTGTGACTTTCTGCCTTAGCCACTCCCCAAATCTCGAGATCCAGAGCAGTGTCCCCCGCAGGTGAAGCCGGGGGGATTCAGGTGGGCACAGCAGCATTAAACAAAGTGGAATCTATTGCTGCGGGAAGAATCAATGTAGGATATCTCTATTACACAAACCTGAAAATGGTTATCAGTCGGTGTGATGCTGCATCAATGCACTCAACTCCTCCCAACGCTCCTTCACTGGGTTGTGCTAGGGCACGCTCTTAATGCAAACATCACCCATTTGAACAAAAAGATACTCAGGAATTTAAATACATCATGTGTTTCCAAGATGCAAATACACCAGGCAAAAGAGAATGAGAGAAGTGCCGATAAGGATGAGCTGTTCTTCCACCAGTGCGAGAGCTCAGACGGCATGTGCACCTCAAGTTGAGCTGCAGTTTTAGTTATAACACAGACATTTTCCTAACACTTTCCTGTATTTACCTGCTGCTTTCCTCGAATATCTAAAGCATCGCAACTCAAATTTTTAAGAGCCTACCACCTCCCGCTAGGTTATCTCTCAACGCCAGCTGTCAGAGACCCATCAACAACTGGGCTTCCAGCACGTTCCTGAACACGTAAATTATTTGTAGCGGCCGAGGCTCCTCGTTTGTTTGGGCGGCAGAGCGGGAGGCACTCGGCGCCGCTCCAGCGCCCGGCGAACGCCTCCCCGCCGCGGGGGCGGCGAACATCGCGGCGCTCGGGGGCTGCGGGCACAGGTGGGACGGAGCGTCACCGCCACCTCCTCCCTTCCTCCGCAGAGCCCGAGCCCGCGGGCGGCCCCGGCGGGAGCCGCAGAGCCCCGCGCCGGCGGAGGCCGCTGCGGGGAGCGCGGCCGGGGCGGGGGCGGCTCCGGCGGGGCCGGGGCGCGGACAGGTGGGTGGCGGGCGGTGCGAGCGCGGCGGCGGCGGCGGGGGCGGGCCGGCCGTGCGCAGGCGGCGGCGCGGATGCCGAGCCCCCCGCGCGGCGGCGGCGGCGGCGGCGGCGGGAGCCCCGGCCCCGCGATAAAAAGGGAAGGGGCCGGAGGTGCGCGCCGCGGGTCCGCCCGGGCGCCGCGCGGCAGAACGTGCCTGGAGGGGGTAGAGGCAGGCTGAGCCGGCGGGGGAGCGGGAGGCTGTGCCCAGCGATGAGCCGCCTCCCTCGCTCGCTCCCGCCCTCCCGCAGGAATCCCGGGCGGCGCGGCGGCACCCGGGACGCGCGGCTCCCCCGGGCTCTGCGCGGCGGCGGAGCCGCGCCGGCGAGGAGGAGCCGCCGCCTCATCCTGCGGCACCGGCCCGGCCGGCGCAGGTGGGTGGGCAGCGCCCGCTCCCCGCCGCGGCTGCAGCGGTGACCCCGTGTCCCATCAGCGTCCCGGCGGAGCCGCCGGGGCGGGGGGCGTGAGTGCGAGGGGTCCGTGGGGCTGGGGATGGCTCGGGGGCGCCGGGGACCGCGGGCAGCGGGGCGGTGCCCGGCGCACCTGAGCGGCCGCGGCCGCGCTGGGGTTGGGATGGGGGCCGGGTCCCGGGGGGCTCCGGCGGAGCCGCTCCCGTCCGGGAGTGGCCGGCGCTGGTGGCAAGCGAGAGGGTCACCTGGACGTGGGCAGCCTCGCCGGCGCTTGGGAATTTTATTTCTTTATTATATCATCTTCGGGCTTTTTTGTTCTTTTATTTTTTTCCCTAAGACCAACTTGTTCTTGGAAACCGCGTTTGATTTCGGTTTCTGTTCTGTTCCGTGCGGGGTTTCTGGTGGCCGCTGCGGTGTCGCCGCCGTAGGGCAGCGCGGGGAGCGGGCGCCGCGCCTCCCGCGCTGCGGGAACTCGAGTTTGTTTCTGCCGCTCCCCGCTCCGGAGCGCCTTTCCGGGGAGAGCGTAGTGGGAGCGTTCCGCTTCCAGGGATGGTGAGCAGTTCCTAGCTGCAGGAAAGGAGAAGGCGTGTGCGTGCAAAAGGCAGGTTTCCCCCCAGAGCTTGTACTCCGAAACTTCGCTGTTCTGTGAAACCCGTGTTCTGAACACCAGGAAGCTTCGGGTTTTTCCAGGAACCGTGCATTTGCTGATTTTTTTCACCTTTTCAGGGAAGGATTAACGTGAGGGCTCCGGGTGTACTGTGTTTAGCTCTTATTTTGTTGTAAATTGTTAATTTGGCAGGATCTCTGCAATACTGCTCAAAGTGCCGTAAGGCTGGAATAAAATGAATCGTTTTCATTGTATAAAAAAGCTCAAGATCGCTGCTAATTCTATGCGATAATCTTTCAAATACTAGCAATTTATATTTGCATACGTTTCCTTATAACCTATAAAAGATAACTAAGCTGAGTTAGTTTCTGTAAAACTATGTTCATTTTTTCAGATGGAAGAACAAATCCAATTGGGTTTTTTGTGTTTAACAAATTATAAGGTGCACGTTTTTGCGTTGCCACTTCAGAAGACATCTTGCTCTGTCAAGGTTATGATGTGTCCCCCAAGCAACGAGGATAAAATAAAAATCTGCAGAGATTCTGAGAGTTTTAAGTGTCCTCTTGGTTTAAAATTAATTGGGATTGTTTGGTGGTAATTCTTTTTTCTTCAAATGTATTAAAGAGAAAAATGTAAATAACTTGGTTTGAATATTGAAATGCGCCTTTTACTAAAGGGGAGCTTTAGAATGTTTGTCTAGAAAAACAAGTGAGCTGAAACATTGTGCTAATAGGATTTGCAGCATAAAATATTGCTAATTTCTCTTGTATGACTACAGGTGGCAGTGTAGAAGCCAAGAACAAAAATTGGCAGAAATTGTGTTCTGTGTACAAGAATATGAAGAGTGTACTCATGACTAAGCACAGGAACCTGGAAAACCACAGGTATGTGAAGTGATTCATACAGCTGCCTATGGTGCTCCTGGTATTTATTGTATTCTGATATTCCTGCCTCAATAAGTATTTTTGGACCAATTATCACTTAATGTGTTCACAGTGAGTGAAATGTCATGGAAAAATCTATATTTGACTACTAAAAGGGGCAAAAATACGTTGAAGGTAGTATGGAAGGAGAGATGGGATTTTCCTGCTTTTTATGTTTTATTGTAACTATTGAGAATTGGAACACTAAGTAGCCTGAAGTTGGGTTTTTTTTATCCCTTTAAATAAATAGATTTAATATTGATAAACCTAGCAGCAGTTACAGGCCTGGATATCCTTGAAAAGGAGAAAATTTAAATGCAAGAGACAAGTTTGCATGTCTGGATGTTTTGGATGTCTTATCACTAAAGTTTTTAATAAGCACTGAAAGTGTGAGGGAAATTGCAGAATTAAGAAAATGCAATTAAGAATTACATGTAATTGCAAATAAGTGTCCGGTGAAGATATGTATACCTTGTTAAGGCTTAAATCTTGTAAAATTAAAGAAAAAAAAAAAGATAACACTGTTTTCAATTAAGAAATAAAAGTAAAAAGAAGCAGTATGTAATAAGAGCTCAAGATTAGGTCTCCTATTTCGAAGCACAGGGAGATACTAGATTATTTTAATAATTATTGGGTCATTAATTAACAACATTAGAGTAAGGTAGTAAAGCTTTTCTTGCATATTTACCTTGGTGTGCACAGCCTGTGGAAATTAGTCCATGGATCTGCATTCCTGGATTCCTGGGAAGCCATGGAGGATGAGACAAGCTCAAAGCTGGGGCTTGAGGATTTTTTAGAACTGATGAGTGGGAAGTTATCCTGGTAAGAAGGAATTGTCACTGTGATCATGGATATATTTATAGTCTTGCACTTCCTCTTCTAGTCTGGGAGAGCAGTTTGTCTAAACCTTTCAGCTGCTCCTGAGAGAATGTGGTTCTACTGCGAATTCCCATGGATGACCAAGTCACCTTTTGTCAGCCCCTCTGCAGGAGCTGGCCTTGGGCACAGTTTGAGCAATGCCCAGTTGCAAAGGAAGCTGCAGAATTATTTATTTTGCTGTTAAAATGGGCTAAGACTGTGCACCCCATAGGTACAACCAACCAGCTGTCACCACTAAGCTGTTAAATTATAGTGACTTGGCATCTTGAGATTATGGAATACGAGTAGAAATGATTAATTATTTCCACCCAGTGCATGAAGTACCTGCCAGGAAACCATAGTTCAGCAATGGCTTTGTGGGCACTCAAGCCCTGAAATGGTAAGATCTCTGTAGAAAAGCTGAGTCTCTGTTGGGGGATAGCAAGATCCTGATCACTGGTTTTGGGTACATCATAATGCTTTCATAATACTGTGTGCCTCGGATAGAACACGCTGCAAAGCTTTCAGAGTTCTTCAATTACAAATGAAAAGGTGGCTGAATCTAGGTCTTCAGGCTGGTGTGCAGAAGAGAGCTCTTCTGAGCATCTGGCTGTCATGTTTTTCTTGTCAGCTGTTACTTCTGACTGAGCATCAGCACTAACTTCCATATAGGCCAGTAGTTCTTTTATTATTATGTTATTGAACAACAGGGTTTAAATATCCATCAAAACCTCACATTAACTTAGAATCATTAATATCCCTGGTAAAGACAGTTGAACTGTTTATGTAGCACAGGTCAGCATATGCTTATGGCTTTGTTGAACATTGTTGAGTTCATTAGCTTGTGCTAACACATTTAGAAGAGAAAATGAAAATGTCATTTGTAATTGGCACAAAATTTTAATGGGGTCTTCCATTACATCAAGTGCTGAAAATATTAAAGAAAAATGGTAACTAAGCAGTGTGATGCTCAAGAGTTCAATTTACAGACACTTCTCTGTGCTAATTATGAAGTATTGACATAAATGAATGAAATCACTTGTTAAAGCGCCTTTTCCAGTGTATAGCAGTTATGTTATGAATCATCTTGTGAACACATTCAGCAATTTGTGATGAATTTCCCTGCCATTACAGGAGATTACGAAGTATCTGATGTATTTGCACTACAGTGGGTTACTTTAAATTAGATTTGATGGTGGAAAGGGAACTAGAACCATTTTCTATCAACTGAAAAATCAGGCCTGTTTTGTGAATCGGTATTGAATTTTTCTGTACTGTATGGCACAATTTACCCCTTACAATAAAATGCAAATGTTTGAGCATCTTGCCTATAAATACAGCAGTAACAGCGTGTGTGTGGAAGCTCTCAAGACTTCTTTTGTGTCGAAAGCTGTGTACATCAGAGCCAACAAAATGCAGCAGACTTGATGTAATTGAAAGTAGAATTCATAGTAAGAAATCTAAATTTGGAATCTAAACGCGTGAGGTCCCACTTTGAATCAGCAATTCTTGGTTATGTAGAATATTCTTTGATTTGGTGAAGGGCGTGTTTGTAAGCACAGCTCCCCTCAACAGTGCAGAAGAGACTGCATCTTAAAAAACACTTCTGTGCTTCTGTTTTGAACTAAAAGTTGTGGCTGGTTATGTGTTCTGTTGTCTTAGGGAAGCAGTGATTAAGTGTTTGCACAATCAGTCCTTTCATGCTATCATAAAGTGGCTCTGATCTGTTAGATTATAAAGTATGATTGCCCAGCAGTTATGGGAAATGCCTGTTAATGATACCAGAGTGTTACACAAGAAAAATTAAACTTTCTTACTCCTCCTTACTTTCATAGGATTGTCTTGAAAATGATTTGTGGGAACCTGAGGAATGGATTAAAGATGCTGAATGGAAGGCAGAGGAGAAGTTAAGATTTCACAAAATAAATAAATACACTTTCACAAGCACCAACCAGTCCAGTATTAAAGATGGGTTTTTAGAAAACCACTAGAATGGTTTTAGATTTTTAGAAAGCCATTGTCTTCCAGGAGGATGAGGACAGTCTGAATCAAAGTCTCTGGAGGGAGAGACATAAAATTAAAATTTCAATGGAATACAATGAGAAAAAGCCTAAAACACAAGGAGTGTGTCTGAGGCTATTTAGCCAGACCCTTTGGCTTCTCAGGCTATAGGTTGATCTCAGATCTACAGTTAGGAAGAAAAAATAAAAACAAGCACTTACTTGCCCTCAACAGTATAAATGCAGCTGTTAAACCAGAGGGATAGTTAATGACACTGCAAGATATCATTGCAGATTAATGCAACTGAACTCTTGTGAAAGTCACAACATGCAAAGTGTAAGGAAAATGCTCTCCATCAGCAGATGTGTAAAGCAAAGCTCCAGGCAGGTATTCCCACCTCTGTCTCCAGGGAGGCTGCCACTGGGGTTCCATGAGAAGCTGTAATGCAGTGGGACATCAATCCTGCAAAGGAGAAATGACCCTGAAATTACATCCAAAAAAAATCTCATCCTGTAGATGAGACCTTGCTGTCAGGTGATAGCCAAGTATCCTTTTGCTCTAAGAATTCCATTGTTTGGTGTTGGTTCCAGGTGATGGAGAGACATCTCCTGCTGTGGAGTGTAACCAGTGCTGGAAGGGAGCATTTGGAAACCTTCCAAGCACGTGCCAAAGTGGCTTACAGCAAAAGGGGTCTAGTCTGTCTTCTCAAAATGGAGAAGTGCTGGAGACATAAAGGCTACCAAAGGAGTGCTGGAAGCAGCATGTGAGTTGCTGGATAAAAGGTGCAGAATAAAGAGCTGTGCAGCATCAGTCTGCAGTGTGATTTCAATGTTCTGCATGAGGGCAAGCAGGAAAGGCACCCAGGTCAAGGTGACACTGGCTGTGGCTGAAGTATGTGTGGCAGAAGTTGATGAAGGTCATCTAGAGAACAGTCAAGGACTGCTGGAAAAAATAGGTCTTATTTAGACAGGAGCACAGAAGGACAGACCAAAATGGAAGTGTTCATATGCAAATGTTGGAAAACTGGAATTTAAAATGGAGAGATTGATGGCTTAGTTCTGCAGTGAGTTATTGACAGTCCACATCTGCCATGGAGAAGGTATCAGGCAGGACACAGATTAGGGTTCTTATGGACAGCCTGGTAAGAGGAACTGCCAGGAGAATAATGCTTACAGCCACTCTGGAGAGACTCAGGAAAAAAATGCCTATTTCCTAAAAACTGCTTCTCTGACTCTTTAAAAAGGCTTTGAGGGATATTTAGCATGGTTGAGCAAGATGGAGGGATTGTAAAGACACTGCAAAAACACGTTCAAAAATTTTAAAAAGATGAAATTAATGCAAAATAAACATGAAATATACAGTAAAACAAGTTAAAGCCTGATAGGTGATTTGTGGAAGGCTTTAACTTGTCACGAGTTCTTTCAAAACTCTCAGAAATGGGAATGCAAATGGTCCAGTAGATAACTAAGATCTAAAAGAGCTCAAATCATATTGCTCTTGTAGCCAAAGGCATATGAGAGAGCAGTGTTCACAGTAGCAGTGAAGCCGAGGGTGCCAAAGGTGATGCCAGTTTTCAAAAAGGCTTCCAGAAAGCCTGTGGGAAAGAACAGGACAAGTTTGACTGGCATTCATACCAGCCAGTTTTCTGGTAAATACCATGGAGAAGAAAACTAAAGCATTCATGGACAGTTTGATGTAGCAGGAAAGAGTCAGAACAGTCTCACAAGTCTGGTGAAGTTCTTTGAAGGCACTGTTGAGGTTGTGAGTAAGTGTGATTTAGCTGATGCAGTACACTGGGGGTTTCAGGGAGTCTTGTGAGAGCGACTCACCAAAGGTGCTGAGCAAAATGAAACTGCTCTGACATAAGAGGAATTTTCTCGTCCTAGACTGATGGCCAAAAAATGAATAAATGTCCTGTTTAACAGAAGGGATGGATAGAATTACTCATGGATCTGTGCTAAGATTAACACCAGTATGCATTGGTGATCTGGAAGGGAGAGTGCAGAATGATTCTAAGTTAATGAGAGTAGCATAAATGAAAGCCAGTTATGAAGAGCCCAAGAGGGAGCTTGTGATGCTTAGTAAGTGGGGTTGAAGCTTGC